CATTCTGATAAGGTTTTTCATGTGCTACCCCTCTTCCTATATTTCATCCAATTATTATATTCTACTTCTTACTTAGTCCCTGTTTTGATCCAATAATATGCAAATTTTCTTTCAATCAATGCTTTCTCCAATATCCAGGTAACACTCTATGACAGAATAGTCACTTTTCAATGTCTCAACCTTTCCTTAGCTCTCTCTTTCAGTCTCTCTTTATGCCGCACTACTAATCACCCTCATCTTTCTACTAAAAACCTTATGTCGTGCGTTTTTGGATAAGTAACGAGCAATTCTTAAACAATTCAAGTCTACCAATTAGTGCCACTAAAATCATATATTTTCTTAAATTTTTAAAGCTCGCCCACCAAAGTACACAGATTGCGTTGCTGCAAAGCTGCAAAGCTGTTCCCCTATCCTTACCTTTAAAGTTACCAGCAAAACTGCTTGAGACTTATTCAAGGACTTTTATTCGGTAATCTCAACTTTTCTTGATAATCTTCAGGCGTGACTGGTAACGGCAAAGTGCTCACCAGCCAGTAAGTTTAATGGCGAAAAGAAATGATACGAAAAAAGTGCTTTGATGGGTGCTCTTAAAACGTATATTACTACAAGCATTCTCACAGAACCTCCCACGCTGAGGTGGTTGTCGACTGCCACAGACTTGCTTATTGCAGGCAGACATGGGCTCCGTTGTGAGACTTTTTGGGATAACGGGAACATCTTCATGCTCAAATCCTTGACTTAGAGTGCGCGTCTGAGAACTAAAAACCTATGAATTACTTTCAAGCACGCTTCTGACTGATCATATCATTTCTCTGCTCTATAAACTGCTTAGTAAAATGCCGTTCAATTCGTACAATCTCGATTCATGTTTTTGAATTCATGAAGTTCTCCTGAGCTTTTTAAACGTACAAGCGGAAGTACGTATTCTATAGCAATGATTCTAATTTTAGCAAGGGAGGTACTCACGTACGAAGAGCACGCTCTAGTGAAACAGCGTTGTCGAGAGATGGAGATCCAGCTGCGTTTACTTCAAGACCTCGCCAATGAGCGCCAGAGGGGCACGCAAGTGAGCCAGGAGGTACGCTTGTTAAATAAGGGTTAACGCAAAACAACTATGATTAGTGAAATTTCCGTCATATATTTTCAATTGCAAAGTTATAGCTTATCCCTCGAATTCAAAATTAATGAGTTTGTTGTCACTAATGCTAATTCTGTATTTCAGCTGGCTAGCCTGCAAACATGGGAGACGATGCGTGTAGTACCCTTCCTTGCCACGCATGCCGACATGGGTGGGACCCTAAACGAAGCTGTGGACTTCCTCGAAGCGCACAAGGTGTTCGCGGATGAGGTTGTGGTAAGTTCAAAGCTTGACGATTCGTTGATAGCCAAATGATCAGAACTCAAAAATTATCTCAGAATCGTGATGCATCCGTGATTTCGACAATGTCTAAAATGTCAGAAATGACAGTAGTAGAGCAGAATAC